GTTTCAAAAGGTAAGAGAAGGGCTGTGAGGAATAGGGATTGGGTGCTCAGGTTAAAGGAAAAGTAGGTACATGCTCCACAGACAGAGTGCAGGCCATTTCCGAAGAGGAGGAAGAGAGAGAGGCGGCCACAAGGCATGGTGTTGCCAGTTTTTATGGGCTCAGCAGTTTCACGCCTACAAGTGGGAGGACTATTCCAGCTACCCTGGGAAAGGGGCTGGGATTCCCAGGAATTTGGCTACCACCTACTCTTTGACCTTCTGTGGTTAGCCTTGGGACTGTCATGGTCCTGTGGGCATGCTATTTATCATGCTAATGTTACAATGAGCATATAATGAAGCTCCAGGTCTACTAGAAGTCAAATCTCACGCCACCTTAATTCTCAAGACCTACTGGGAGTGGAATCTTATGCCATTTTGGTGTTAATTACTATTATTCCTTGAATTGCTGTGCCTTGCCCCCTTCCCTCCTATCTCATTTCGTCTCTCCTCTCCCCCTTTTGAAGTGGTTTTAGAGAGTTTACTAGTGTTGATTGCCAAACAGTGATCACAGGTCAAGGCGAGTGTGACAAAGTATTTTCCAGTCTGCACACGTTAGTCATAGTCTGAAGTGGGGTATTTAATATTTCCAGAACATTGTCTTTTCCTAGCCCAGAAAATTTTCTTTTGCAAAAGAATCTTGAGAATACAAAGATTAAAGGCTTAAAAAGAAATAAAAACAAACAAAACTTCTAAATTCCAAGGTAAATTTTGCACAGTAAAAGAATTCTTTTGCATTATGTCATTTACGCTCTCAAAGGAAAGTTTTCAGTTCTATGCAATTTGATTCTATTACACCTTTTGTGGTTAATTGAAATAGTTTGCTAATTACTGCTGTGCTCTAGATAGAGTTGCCAGATAAAATAGAAGGTACATTTGAATTTCAGGAAAAAAAGAATCATTTTAAAAACTATAAGTATGTCCCAAATATTGCATAGGATAGTACTTATATTAAAGAATGATTGGTTATTTATTTTAAATTTGAATGTGACAGGGCATCCTATACTTTAATTTTCTAAACTTGGCAACTAAGCACAAATAGGTTCTTTTGTTTGTCTTTACTTAGAGCTGTATAGAACAGGCATGTACTTTCCAATTTTTTGTCTTTAGAGTTAAAGACAAAAAATTTTCTCAGTGGAGCAATTATTTAAAAAGTGTTCCTTTGTGTAAAACAGAACACTTAATTCTCACGAATGGAGTTCTAAAACTAGTACTGGCCTTGCAAATCCAGTTTTGCAGCTTAGTTTGGGAAACGTTCCCAAACGTTATGGGTAAACTGGCTCCACCCAGCTGCTGAAATCAGATACAAGTTGTAACAAAACCGGAAGTTAGATAGGCTGCCTTTGCTTCTCATGGTAAGTGTCTCCTGTTTTCTTCAGAGCTCTTTGCAAAGCATTTAAAAATTGAATCCAGCTGGGTGACAGTACTAAGAGCAGGCGCCTATGCTGGCCAGGGCTGTCGGTGACGCTGGACGCTTTATTAACTCACTGGGTTCTGGAGCCTGTGTTGTGCTAATGGGTGTTCACTAACGAGTTAGGTTAATAATATGTCCCATGACTTTGGCTGTGAGCTTTAATCCCATGAAAAGGGTGATTGTAAGTAGAGAGGAGTTTGGGATCCTGAAAAGCATCGACTTTATTCATGCATCAGTGTTTAAAATTTTTTTAAATTTTATTTTAAGCATATTTAAACCTAATGGTATAATTACCTACGTGAGGGTGCTTAGAGCCTTACTTGGTTTTTAGTGTCTTTTAAGTTAGGAATCTTAGCTCTCCCCACCTCTCCCTCACCTTCGGTGTGTCTTCAGAATTTCAGAAAGGCTCTGGGATGACTAGGTGTTACCTCTGCCCTTATTTTTTGCTCCCTGTTTGCTGCCCTAGGGCCAATGGGAACTTTTCCATTTGTAAATTCGGGAATATTTCTTTACAAAGCCAAACTTTTTAGTTTCAGATATTTTCTGTTTTCTCTAAATTAAAGAAAAAGTGGAAAGATTCAAGTATTGTACTTGGGTAGTGCAGATTTTGGGAGGCTAAAATTTGATCTATTAATTTATTGAAAACAATGAGCTAGACTTTTTACAGGATTGTTTTGTTTAAAAGGATGAACTCTACTAAGTCTTTTAAAAAATAAGCTAACATGTTAATTCTTCTGCCTGGCTATGCCTTCTGTTTCAAATTTGTCCACTTAGGTGATGTCAGATTCTCTGGAAGTCACATTGTACTGCATTGCATTGAGCGCTGTTTAAAAGGTTGTCTGCTAGTCACTGGGAAAGGAAGTCAATGAGTAGAATGCCTTTGCTGCCTCCAGGAATTTTCCTTAAGACAGGTCAACCAGTTGTGGCAGAAAAATGTGATTAAAATTTTTTATTAGCAAAACCCAAAGCTTATGGAGCTTCTGAGAAGAGTGGTTATTTAAGGTTGGCAGAATTAGCCAAGATTCCTATGAAGAAAGGATTTTAATGGAAGGCCTGGTTTACGGTGGGCGCTATGCTCCTCGATGTTTCATAGATGTTATTTATTTAAACTTCACAAAGGCCCTTGATGTTGGTAGTATTGTCTCTAACAAAATGAGAAATTTAAGGCCCAGTGAGGTTAAGTAATTTGCCTGCGGTCACTAAGGTGGTGCCTGTTGGAGTCAAACCTGGTTTCTGTGATTTCAAAGCCCTTATTGCACACTGTCCCATGGGACAGAGTAGTTGATGGCATTTTAAATGGAACTCGAAAGAGAGGTAGATGTTTTATTTATTGAAACAAGTCCAAAGAAAAACAGTAAAAGTAACATAGAATGTTTGAAAAAAGAAAAAAGAAAAAAATCTAAACACCTTATAGTTAATTGAACGTGTTACTTTACAGTCTTCACATATGCATGTTTTGTGGTGTTTTTAAGTTATAAAGCGCTACAAACTTTCAAAAACATGCATAATTCAAAGAGGATTAAAAAGAGGAAGTCCATTCCTTTTCAGATATTGAAAACACTCTCCTAGAGGTAACAACTGCTGAGAATGGTTAAAGTGCGGTGTAAACGTTTTTTTTCTTTTTCTCTTTCCGTTACATGTATTTGGTACATTACATGTAGTTTTGTAGTCGGCTTGTTTTCATCCCTCAGTGCGGCGTGAGCATGTTTCTACCTAACAGATACATGTCTTAGGATTTTTGTGAAATGAGTTAATACTTGCAGAGCACTTAAAAGAACGCCTCGCTCCTGGAAAGCACTCAGTAAGTATTAGCTGTTATTCCTTTCCTTGTTTACTCTGTTTCATTCTTTTAAATGGGTACACAGGATTTTAGAGTTTGAATATAGCATAGTACATTTTTTAAACCATCCAAATTGTCTTACATTTTTGCTATTACAAATAATCCTTGCATGATTGCATGGGGTTTTCTTTTTCTTTTTTCTTAAAAATTGAAGTATAGTTTACATACAGTATTATATTAGTTTCAGGTGTACAACATATAATTCAAATTTTTATAGAATTTACTCCAGACAAAGTTATTATAAAATAATGACTATATTCCTTGTGCCTATGTTGTGTGGGGCTTTCAGTAGAACAGATTTTTAGAAGTGATACTCCTTGGTCAAACATTAAACATATTTTAGTTTAGTAGGACACTGTCAAATGTCCTCCAAAATACTGTGACAATTTACACTCTTCACTGACCTTGTGAGTGTCCTTATTTCTCCACGTCCTTGCTTATGTTGGATGTTATTAGTCTTTTGTATTTTACATGAAATCATAGGCAATGAACATTTTTTACATAGTTTAAGCACAGTGTACAGAGATTCTGTAGCTTATTTTTTCTTCCCATTTAACACGTATCCATTTTTACATGGCTGGGAATTTGATGGATGAAATAATGGAGGAGAAGACAGAACATGGATAGAAAAAAAGTGTGGTGCTTGTTCCAGAAATAAGTACAAATGGTACATCCTTGCAGTTGGGTTGGGCTGAAAACACATTAGATGCCTAATGCTTTTGTCCTTAATTGAATGGTTCCTGGGAAGCTGTTGAAGGTTTTGGGGGAGAGTAGTGATATGGTGAGATTTGTGCTCTAGGAAACTGATCTTGTGGTGTTGTGTAGCATAGATGAAAATGGAGAGTCAAAAACAGGGAAGCCAAGTGAGAGTGTCTCGTTAATCTGAGTGACAAGTAATGTCACTAAAGACTTTAGCTTGAAGGTGATGGCAGAATGGAAAACAGCAGACAGATGTAATAGAGAGAACGGGAGGTAGACGAGAGATGCAGAAGGGATAGGTAGGTGTGCGGGAGGGTGGAGGTCGAATCTGCTTTCGACCTCCAAAGACCCCAACTTGGCTCCCCAAGTTTGGAGTCAAATCTTGAGAATTTGGGGTTTCAAGTCTAGTTGACTAGGACTGTGTTGACAGGCCACCCTCAGAGTAGGAAAGTCAGATGCGAGAACTAGTCTGGAGGAAAGAATAATGAATTTCGTTTTAGAAAAATTAAGCTCATTGTTGTCCAGAAACCTATATACAGTTGGAAATTTGAGTCAAAGCATTGTGGAAATGTGGGATGGGGGCATCTGAAAGTTATGGGAAATGTTATTCAGGGGTGATAATTGAGGCAATAGAAGTAAAGAGCCTGTAGAGAAATGTGGGGATCAAGGGAAAAATTCTCGAGAATGGATATCTTCATGTAAGGGGCTCAAAGAGGAACCAGACTTAATTACAATATTGTTTACAATGACTATTTCTAACATTTGACCTTGGACCTAGTCAGGCTGTTCTTCACTGCCCTCCAAGGTCCATTGTCACTTTTCTCTTTCTACTTCTAGTTGTCTTATTGCTCCCATTCAAACTGCTCGTTCTGAATTCCTTTTTCTCCGTAATGCCTTATTTCCTGTGTCAGCCTTAAGGGTCTGATTTGACGCTGTGATGGCTTAGTGGTTAAAACTTCAGAAACTAGACCAGAGACTACACTCTTCACCGCTCAGGGGCATTGGCAAGTGTCTCAATCAGTGCCCTATTTTACATATTGGGGATAGAAATACCCTCGCACCTTCCTGGATTGTTTTGAGGAACGTGTGCTAAGTTCTTAACATGATGCCTGATACATTATAAGCCCTTAGCTCTTCTGTTATTGTATTCTCCTGTACCTCTAAATTTCTATAATGAAATGCAGTTTTTTTCCCTAATTTGTCCCTATGTGATTTTAAGCAGTAGTTTTTTTTATTTACATTTTATTT